AGACATAGCTTGAGACCCAATGACAAAGTTGGAACCATACAGAATGATGGAAATATGTTAAGAATGATCTGATCGGTCCATAAAGTGTGATTGACTTGTCTCTTTTTTTTTTCTTTTTTCTTTTTTAAAGAAAACAGTGCAAAATAGAAGAAATTATCCAAACTAAAGGTTGAAATTGAATCTGAGAAAGCAAAAATCTATAATAGTGAGTGTGAAGCAGCAAACAACTTAGAACAGTCAATCGACTTGGTGAGCTATGTTTGAAGCTGCGGCAGAGACGGCTGGCAGAACCGACTTGAAGAGTCGAGAAAGACAAAACGTGGCTGAAGACTTGTGAATAGGCGCGTAATCGCGTGTGAAAGTGGTGACAGCGAGTGAGGACGACGACCAACACATGCATAAGATATTGGTGGTGCGTGAGGGCGCGTGGAATGACTATTGGCAGCAAGGTTGACGAATTTGAAACCGCTTGCGCGAGGCGAATAGAATGGTGTTGTTGAATTTGAGTTTTGATGGTTCGATTTGAAACAATGATGACGATGACAATCTTGAACATTCACTAGACAATAGTTTTGTTGATGAATGATAATGAAGTGATGTTTAGCAGCAAAAAAAAAAAAACCAGGATCAAGAGCCATGTGCTCTGATGTAACACCCCAAATTTCTAGCCCAAATGATAATACAACAATAGTTCTTCATGCAACAATACCCTAATCCAACAACAAGTAAATAAACAAATAAATACCCCCAAGGGCTAACAAGTTTCCAAGGCTTGAGCCTGGTTACACAAAACAGTTATTCAAATCCACACAAATACAACCCTTGGCTTACACACAGAGTCACAGCAAAATGAGAGTCTTGTACTCTCAACACACATTTTCTCGCTTTTAGTTAAGCGGCATTACCACATCTTTTCTTGCACAAAAATCCCGTAGGGTGAGCATAAAGCCCAGTAGGAAATCCTTAACAAAGTATATACATTTTATACAAGTCTCAAGAGATGAAATGTACACGTCATGCTATGCCTTTTTTGAAAATAAATCACATTTTCATCTTTTGAAAATCATCATGCTCAATGATGTCATGCAATTTCAATTGTTCAAAACTTAATAATTTATTTCAAGGGTGGTAAATATGACTCTGGTAATCCCTAAGTCGGTGTCTGCAAGTAGACTATATAAGTACTACCAAATTGTCATTTTTATCGGTATTAATCGGAAGGATCGACACCTATCCGCACGGGTTTTCGGTCTTTCACCCCGGTCTCTCAGGTCAACTTATTCAATATCATCTACATCACCTATCAAGACTTACCAATGTATTTATTCTAAAACCATTTCATGAAAACTTGTTTCTCAACATTCTTTTCTCAATGCAAGTTTTCAAATTAACTTTCAAAGTTTAATATAATCAAATGAATTGTTATGCCAATAACACAAGATGAATATAAATACTTTTATTCCAATTCATCATCCAAGGAATAACACAATTCCCTCTTCTCAAGTATCCTCAACAATTAGTCATTTCAAAACTATTTCAACGTTTTGAACAATAATTTCTAAAATAAACAACAATTCTTATATTTCCTGAAATTCATCATTTATATAAATATAAATAAGAAATTTTCTAAACATCCATTTATTTTGACACACAAAACAAATACAACAATATAATTCATGGATTTTCAGTCTCTTTTAAAAAATCTCCAAATTCTAAGTTTTCTCACCAAAACTATACAATTCAAATCCTTTAAAAGAGAACTTTCCAAAATCATCTTTTCTTCAATCAACGAATATCAAAACCCATAAGATCATTTAAAAAGAACAAGAGACAAACTCACTTTTAAAATCGCTCAACTTCTTGAATCAACAATCAATTTTCAAAGCTATCGAAAGATGATTTCGAAAATCATATAGATCTTGCAAAAATATATATATAACTCTAAAAAAATCCCTACCTCAAGTTTTAAAGAAGAAATGAGACGAAACCTCCAAAATCAACGGTGTCGAACCTTGATCTTCACCACACACAACGAAGTCCTCGAGAAGTTAACCAACTTTGATGAAGAACTTATGGCAGAACTCTAATGGATCTTGAGAAATCAAGGTTTTGATCTAATTTGGCGTAGGGAAATGTAAAGAGAAGGGAGAGGAAAGGGTTTTTAGAGAGAGAGATATATACAAAAGTGATCTGAAATATCAAATTCACGAACTGATATAACATGGTCCGCTCAAGCGTGGAAAGCCCCGTTCGAGCATCAAATACACTTTCCTAGTACTTTTGTAGACAGGTTAAACTTCTGAAACCAAACATTCTCCGTTCGAGCGCATAAACGGCCGCTCGAGCGAACAAGCAACTTCTAATGCATTTTGTATTTTTACTTCGGGGGCACTGCCCCTCAACCTCGCTAGGGAGCTGCCCTAGGACCCGCCAAGGGGCACTGCCCCGTGGACCCCCGTAAACTGACCGGGCAACTCGATCCCCACCAGGGCGCTGCCCTTGGACCCGCCAAGGGGTGCTGCCCCCTGGACCCCTGCGAGCTGACCGGACAGCTCAATCCCTAACATACTGAACGAAGTGGCAAAACTGGGATCGCTACATCTAATACCATAAAGAAGAGATTAGGAGAGAAAAAAAGAAGAAATTGTATGTCTGTATTGAATCAATGATATGATGATACATAGACGGTATATGCAAATAATAAGCAAGGAAATGATATACTATACATAAATGGAAAGATCCTATATGCCAAGTATGGAATCTGGAGCAATATAACAATTGTACAATATTATACTAACAAAATTTGTTACATATTTTATTAATGTCTAACTCTCTTAACTCCCTTGCCACGTGTGAATTTAGGAAAATTATAGATTATTTCTGAAATATCACGTATACGTATTTCTAACCAATCATCACTTATTCTATTTCTTCATATTTCTCAATTACTTAATATAATACCTCACATATTCACATTCTCCACCAATTACAATATTATAAAATACCACATATCTATACTCTGGAATTACTGAATAATTACTAGTAAATTTAAGAGTCCAAATTATAAATTTTTAACATTTCTCTTCAAAATTTTATGTATAACTAAAATTTTTATCTAATTAACGTGAAAATATTATTTTTAAAAATCACGAGTCATAATAGTGAATGACTTTTATTATGTAAAGGAGAATTTTGTACAAATTTTTTTTATATATTTTTTTGTAACGTGATAATTCCGTAATGTAATATAGATATTTTTTTGTATAACATGAGAATTTTGTACAATATATATATATATATATATTTAACATTGTTGTGTTATTCGTGTTTTTTCACCATTACATGAAATGATATTATTATCATCTACTTATTTTTAATAATTGTTTACAAATAAGGGATCAATTATAAGTATCGAAAATGATCCGTAGCTCGAATGTGTAGAGCTCGAATGGCTCAAATGGTACGAAAAATATTATCTTACCGGTAAGAGAATAAAAAAATTCTTAAAACGACGTCGTTTTGAAATTTCGAGCCATTCGAACCTTTGATATTTCGAGCTACGTAGCGAAACCGTATAAGTATTTACGTAAATAGTGAAACACAATAGTAAACATTGTTATTCCAAATATTGTTACTGTCAAAAGTATTTTTTAATGCTTTGATTTTAATGTATACTCTTAAATGGTTAATCTCAATGACAACGTGAATAGAAGTTTGAGGACAAAATATACTTGGCTTCCCAAACCTTGATAAAATTTGTTATCGTCAAAGTTGATAACACCTGTCATTTATACTGCTTGTCACCTATTACGGATTTACTTACTCTCACCACTTAAATTATATATAATCAATATTTTGAATTAGAAAAAAGAAGAAGAAAAGTTGATAACATAAGAGCAAACGTCACGAGCTTGCAGTGTAAGGCATACAAGTTTATAATTTCAGAAGACGACTCTGCATGAAGATAATTAACAACTAGCAGAGTTTGGTCCACCTAACTCATATGACCCAACTGCAAGAGAAGCTTCTTGTTGTTTGACACAAATACCACAACACTTTTAACCATTTTGAACCAATCATCTTTGCACTTCTCTTTTCACCATTTACAGTTTAATTTTTAGAATGTTTTCTAGCCCACTGGTTTAGACTCAATACTACAAATATCTATATTTATATCTATATCTATATATATAACTATGAATTTTATGAATTTTCTGTGTGTTGTATATATTCAACATTGTCGGTACTAGTTCGGGTTAAAAAATCTAGACTATTCGTGTTTGAATTGTAGGATCCTTTTATTATTACTCTCGCCCTTCCTGATTAAAAAAAATATTAACAACTAGGTAATCTGATAGTCATCATACTAAACTCAGTGGATCTCTTATGAGTATGAATTCATGAATCTAAATACAAATATGCAAGTAAGAATTAAGAAATTAGATATAGATTTATTTTATATTATTGAGAATTTAATTTTAAAGACAAAAGAATGAGAAATGATTTATATAACTGATTCTACATAATTGAGACACAACACTTAGTTTGATTCAAATTAGAATTTCAACAAAACACTTGTACTAAAAGAGTTTATTGCTTTGGTAAAAATAACGATTATTTTGATAATAGACGGTTGATACCAACTTAAAAAATCTAATAAGAAAATTGTTAGTTTTTTACACTTTCAGCAACAAAAACAAAATTGTTATCCTCAAATTTATGCCTACAATCCCCAGATTAATAATTCAAAGTTTTAACCATTATATATATGCCTTATAATTCATTTCATTACTACAAACTATGGCACATGCAAAGAGAAAGAAAAAAAAAACTTTTAATATACGATATATATATGCAAGAACTCTAATTTTTATTTATTTATTTTCTTGGAAGACATGTAAAGTTGAATAGTACAGTTCGTTAAGCTTGGTACTTTGTAACTTCTCTATGCAACTGCAACTTGCAAGTCAAATAAAAAAAAAAAGAGTCACCTTTAATCATAGAAGCTAATAGTTTAATATTACCACAATCCCAACACTACATTCAACTTGACAAAGAGACCCCAAAAAAGGTAAAAAAAAAAATTAAATTTTACAAATTTCATAAACTCCCACCATTACATCCTCTGCTATCTCAAAAACATGATGAGCAAAGACAAATAAATTACAAATGGGGTTTTTTAAAACTAGTACTAGGGTACCAGAAAAAAAAAACACACACAAAAAAAAAAAAAAAAAAAAGAAACAAACAAACAAGCGAAAAAAAACAAACAAACAAAGAGTAATCTTGATTCAGCAAGGGCTAGCACACTCTGTTGAACTCAAAAGCTCTTCCAAGTACTCTGCACCCAAGTCTTCCAAAACCACCACATTCTCTGTCTTGGCTTCTCTCACTTTACTCTTCCTGCTCACACTTCTTCTCCTCATGGAGTGTCTCTTCTTCATAGCCACGACCGGCGAACACCCCTCCTCCATGCTATACCTCATTTCGCGTAGCGATTCTTGTACCCTTTCCACCGGAAAATTGAGAATGGCAGCCTGACCGCGCATTGCGAAAGCGGCTTGATCATAAGCCAAAGCTGCGGCCTCTGCACTGTCAAATGTGCCCAACCAAACCCTTATCCCATTCCTAGTGGAATCCCTTATCTCGGCTGCAAATTTTCCCCACGGCCTCCTCCGGACTCCTCTGTAGGATTTTTCCTTCTTGGGTTTCGCTTCCGATTTTGAACTAACCTCATCTTCCTTGATTTGATCAGTGGAAACGGTTTCTGAGATTTCTTGGGCCGCTTCTGCCAGGACTCCGAGGAGAAGCATCTCCTCAGAGTCATTTTCATTGAAGGGAAGGTAATTGGCGAAGTCGAGCCCATTCCAGGAAAAAGATTCTGGTGAGCCAAACGAGGAATCCGGCGAGAAATCAGAGTTTAGGGAGTGAAATAGAGAGGAATCCGGCGAGAAATCGGAGCTAAGGGAGTGAAATACAGAGCAATCCATTTGAATTGGAATGGTTTGTTTTTTGGTGAATGATACGTGACTACTCTGTTTCTTTGGTAGCACAAACCATACTGTGGTGACATGTTTAGGACTAGCTAGCCTCCTTTAAATACACAAAAAAGACAGGGAGGATTTCAATGTGAAATGGGTTATGAAAAATTGTTTATATTGAATTTTCAAAATAAAAAAACAAAAAGAAATGAGGGCAAAAAAGGGAAAAAAAATGTTTCATATCACTAATTTAACACTACTAATACATTATTAATGACATAACATCATGTAGATCTCATCACTCATGTGATAGTTTGGCCTTTATTTTTATTTTATTTTCTTTACACTGTCGTCCTTTTAGAGCTTTCAATTTAATGTTCTAAATCGGAATTGAAAAAAAAAATAAAAAATTATTGAATGAAGAATGTCTAAAGAGGATGTCTTGGCATTATTTTATAGAATATTAGCATTTTACTATTTATTTTATTATTTTTAATTACATTGTGACCGCATCAAGTGGGATAAAACCCACATGGGTCAAATGACGGATCCAGGCGGCCCAGCTCAAACAAAAAATTGTGACGTGAGCCTATCATTTCTTTTCGAGGCCTAAGCTATCTTGGACTTTCCACTTGGCATAAACGGGTGGGAGATACTGAATTTTATTTTTAATAAAGATCGAAAATTCTAATTTTTAAATTGTAAAAAAAGTTTTAGTGATGTGATGAAGTGTAGGGTTCACATATGATGTGTTATGTGTATTTATGTTTTTGTTTTTATTTTTATTTTTTTTCTCTTGTCATATTATTAGATTTTTTATGAGTTTTAAAATTAAAATTTTTTATCATTATTATTTTATTTAATTTTTTTTGAATAACTCAATTCATTAGCAAAGTTCAGGATGGTTATTGTATACTACATAAAATAATAATAATAATTTGTACATAGCACCTCTTATATTATTATAATAGATTTCATTTTAAATTTTAAATTTTACTTATAGTTCATCACATTATGCATGAAAAGTATTAAATAATATTTTTATTTTATTTAATAATTTTCATTACATATTAAAAATGTTATTGGGTACTTCTTGTATTCATTTGTATTGAGATTGTGTGAAAAGTAGTTTAAAAATGAGTGAAAGCATTATAAAATTAAGATTGATGATTTTTTTTTTTTCTTATGCTCAGGACCCCTTGATAATAGCCAACCTTAAGTTTATTATTATTATTTTTTTATATTTTGTAGTGCATTGTATCAAATGGATGTGATTGATTGAATGTTTTAAATAGATAATTAAGCATGGTTTGTTAATAAGTCAGATCATGCCATTTTTTGACAAAAGAAAGGCAAAGTATATCAAGCATACTAGTAGTAGTAGTGATACAAAATGTCACAATTAGTATAGACACGCAGTTTTGTTGTTGTCTTTATTAGGCCATATAGTATATTAGTGAACTACTTCAATTCAAATAGTTCGATGGATAATGCTAGATGACTGTACATATATCACATGCCCAGTTACGATTTATTAATTTTAAATGCAAAAGTAAGTGATCTAAATGTCATTTTATTTTAAATGTTACTATGGGTGTGTAGAAAATTACTATTTTAGTTTTTGACTGTTTTAGTAGGTTAAAATTTAATATATTTGAGAAGATAGTTAAATTTTTTTTGTTGTTGAAACTTGAATGTGATATTTATAAGAGAAAAAGTGAAATGATTATGGATTTGATGTGACATTTTGTCTTATTAACTATTTTAACCTATTTTATTTTATTTTTTTTTTGTAAATTTTAGTCCAAAAAATCCAAAAAAAGCCCTTGCCCCAAACACCCTTTCTTAGATCCATTTAAAAAAAGAAAAAAAAAAGAGCATGACACAACTTTACTTTTAGTTTATTAACTTCACTGAAATGCTTGAATTTTTTTTATTAACCGTTTCAATTTTTAATTACTGTTTCCTAAACATATAAAAGTTCAGTGAATACACATGTATTTTTGATCCATTGTATTTTACTGTATTACAATGCATATATAATTAAAAAAAATAAAAAGTTGACAAAACAAATTTTCCCGATTTCTTCTATGAAAACTTAGCAACTTGCTAGTTTGAGCATGTTTAACATGCCAAAAAATATATATGGAACATTCAAATTCCTCAGCTCATGTCAAGAAATATACATGGAACATTCAAATTCCTCAGCTCTAAAAGTTCCATAGACCTTTCTTTCACAACTTCCATTCAACATTGCATCTACTTTAATAATGCCAAATAAAGCAATACCAAGCAATATGATTTACCGTAGAGTTTGTTTGTCTGATTTGAATTGATTTCTTTAAAATTTTGAATTCATGTTTTGTTGTACTGGTTAGCAGAAATTTATAGCTAAGTTTGTCATACGAAGTTTCCTAGATGTGTCAAGATGACCATAAATATTCTAGGATAAGTAGTCAATAGTACATATTAATTGTTTTCAAAATCACTTTATTAGCTAGAAAATTTGACCAACTCTGATAAAATTTTGCCACGTCACACACTAGAAACAAATTGTTACTAGAAGAAGTCACACACCAACCGTGATGTGCGCAGCTTCGCAAGATTATTAAATTAAAAAAATAATAAATATCATTTTCAATAATCCTTATTTTAAGAGATTACTTATAAATTATTTGGATAGTTGCCCACGTTTCGTCACATATATAAAGGCTTTATTTGAAAAATTAGCTACTTTAATTAATTATTTTAACCTGACTAAAATAGTTGTGTTTGAGAAATTAATTAATTTTTTTTTAGTTGATTTGATACTTGTAAAAGAAAAAATAAAATGATTATAAATTAGATATTGCACTTTAGTTCATTGACTATTTTAATTTACTTTGTCTTTTAATAAACTATTTTAACTTTAACTCTTTTCCAAACACCCAAAATGAAGTTCATAAATATGTTATTCTATGCCATAGTCATACAAATATGTACATGACTATAGTCTATTTTTTCTTTCGACTAAACCTTTCAATTAAATGAAGGGATTTCCCAACTAGTTGGAGAAACTTCTTTCCGTCACGTGGTTAATAGTGTAGCCACATCTGTAGCCACATCGATTCAAGGATAACGGTAGAAATTAGGTTGATTTGATTATATTTGTATCATATATATGTTAGAATTTCTTCAATTTTAATTGGACTAGTTTAACTATTCTTGTCAAGTATTTTGAAATTGATCTGACTTATTTATATTAGGTTGATTTGATTATATTTATATCTTATATATGTTAGAATTTTTGCAACTTTAATTGGATTAATTTAACTAATCTTGTCGAGTATTTTGAAACTGATCTGACTTATTTATAAACGTGTCAAGTAAGAAAATAAACACATTTTTTCATCGTACACCTTTAAATCTAATCTTGTTTTAAAAAAAATTTGGCCTCTCGGAAATAAATTTTTGAGTAATTTGTGCTCTACTTTCTTGAACTGTTGTTCATTGTTACTTTACTCTTTCAACTAAAAATATTATACTTTGCCACCTTAAATTATCAATTTGCATTAACATGAACTAAGCGTAAAACTGGCCCGGTACCGACCGGGTAGTTGGCGAAACCATTTGTATGTGAGTCGGGTCGGTCTGGTTGGTTCAGTTTGAGCGGGTGATTCGGTTATTTGTACAACCGTAACGTGAACCTTTAATTAATTATCCGTTCCATAAATGGATGAAAATTAACATGTGACTTGCACATAACATTTCAAATATTGTGAAATGCTTAAAATGATTTTTTCTTTCCTTTCTTTTACACACTGCAACAACTATGGAAATTATAATATAGACAATTGTGACTGTTGATTTAGATAGTAGAAAAGAGGGAAAGAAAAAATAGAAAATGAGAAGAGATTAATAATTTTCTTCATCATACAACGGATCATTAATTAAAAATTCACAATTGAGAGTTCAAAATGGCAAAATGTAGTATTTTTGAATTGAGGGGAGTAAAATGATACTAAGTGACAATTCCAAATGACAAAGTGTAATTTACTCAAAATTTTTGGCCCGGCCACTCCTAAAGAATAGTAGACTTGTCAACAACCCCAATGCACATTGAGATTCATGTGAAACTATCAAACAATAATCTTACATTGCTGCCAACTTTCACATAACCCTCGTTGGTTTTAAAAGGAAGGTGACGATAATGACCCTTATGTAAAACAAAAATATTTTGTACAAGCATTGGGGTAGTGATTGTGAAATATAGAAAATCATTATCAGAGATAATGAATGGCCTATGAATTAACATATATATATTTATGAAATTGATGGTTTGAACAGTCTAGATACAGGCCCCTTTGAAGGGTCGTCAAATGTTTCTTAGTCATCAAAATTAAGAGAGTTATCTTTGAGCTTTGAAAGTCCCCTAGAGATAATAGATACTGTTGTAAATTATAATGTGGTTTGAAAGTGGCCGTATCATATTCAAGTCTGAGTCTACCACTTGGATTTCTTTGAATTTGGTATTATTTTATTTTATTTTATTATTATTATTTTTTTTAATGGGTGAAATTTGTTAGATTAGCACGTATGGGAGTAAATCTCTCAACTCTTACAAAGTATGAAGTGATTGTCAAGTTGCCACCTAATTCAACTCCTTAGAAAGAGTTACACTCATGACCTCTTCCTTAGAGGTTAGGCCTTTAAAAGAGTTATGGTGATCAATTAGACTAAACCTAATTAGTTGAAGTTGGAGGTTTTCTTTTTGAAATTTCTAGGGAAGCCCATTTTTGGGATAATTTTCTAGGTATGTAGTTTTCATGATTTAGGATTTTTATTTATTTTTAATTTTTTTTTTTTTTTGGATTTTTCAACAAATTAATACCAGGCATGTAGCAAATCATACATGGACGTCAACTTTATTTTCTCATCCATGCCATAGTTTCCTTCCTTGCTCCTTCGTTTTATAGACCATTGACTATTTTTTTTTTTTTGGTCATTTTATCTCCCACGAGGTGACACGACTACTTTATGAGTCATGATCCTCGGGCTTACATTTCACTTAAAAGTGACAGATGTGGTCGATCCTAATTGGTCGCTAGTCGAGCTTAGTC